CCCCGGGGGTCTCACCGGGGGTCAGCAGCCGGTCCTGGTACTTGGGCACGTGGGGGTCGACGCTCTGCAGCATCACCCACATGGTGAGGGCGAAGAGCCCGGCCAGGAACCCGTAAAACACCAGGTAGAACAGCAGGATCAGCCCTGGAGGGGAAATTTGGGGGGTCAGGGACCCCAAAAATGAACCCCCCGTGGGGAAAAACCCCCCTGGGGGCAGAAACCCCAAAATCCCAACCGAAATGGGGAAAAACCCCAAATTTGGTGTGAATTCCACAGTGGAACACCAGGTAGAACAGCAGGATCAGCCCTGGAGGGGAAATTTGGGGGGTCAGGGACCCCAAAAATGAACCCCCCGTGGGGAAAAACCCCCCTAATATCAAAAATCCCTAAAATCCCACAAAAAATGGGTGAAAAACCCAAAAATCCCAAGAGAAATGGGGGGAAAACGCCAAAAATCCCAATTAAAATGGAGAAAAACCCCAAAATTTCACAATAAAATGGGTGAAAAAGGTCAGGATTCCAAAAACCCCCCTGGGGGCAGAAACCCCAAAAATCCCACAAAAAATAGCGGAAAAACCCAAAAATCCCGACCAATATGGGGGAGAAATTCACAATAAAATGGGTAAAAAAGGGTCAGGACCCCAAAGGAAACCACCTGGGGTCAGAAACCCCCAAAATCCCAACCAAAATGGGGGAAAAGCCCCAAAAATCCCAACTAATGAGTGAGAACCCCAAAATTCCGCCATAAAAGGATAAAAAAATCCCTAAAATTTGGGATAAATCGCAATATAAAACAATTTAGAAGAGCAGGATCAGCCCTGGGAGGAATTTTGGGGGTCAGGAACCCCAAAAATGAACCCCCCTGTGAGGAAAAACCTCCGTTAAATCAGAAACCCCCAAAATTCCATCCAAAATGGGTGAAATAGCCCCAAAATTCCACCCAAAATGGGTGAAAAATCCCTAAAATTGGGATAAATCCCAAAATAAATCACTTTGGAGGAGCAGGATCAGCTCTGAGAGGGCGAATTTGGGGATTGGACCCCAAAAATTTCCCCAATGGCATCAAATCCCCGAAAAATGTCCCTAAAATCCTGCCCTGGACACCCCAAATATCCCCAAAATCCCCTAAATAACCCCCAAACCCGCCCCAACGACATCAAAAATCCCCCAAAATTGCCCCGAACGCCCCAAATACCCCCAAAATTGCCCCAAAATCCCCTAAATACCCCTGGGCACCTCAAATGTGCCCCCCAAAACAGCCCCAAAACCCCAAAAAGTGCCCCAAAAATCCCAAGTATCCACCCCAAAGTGATCAAAGGGCATCAAAACCCCCCAAAAGCTGCCCTGGAACCCCAAAACTGCCCCAAAACTGCCCCAAAACATCCCTTAACCCTTCAGATGTTGCCCCAAATCCTTAAAAAAACCCGAAATTTTCCCCATTGGTGCCAAATACGTCCCAAAAGCTGCCCTGAATACCCCAAATGTCCCCAAAAAACGGCTCTGAACCCCAAAATTCTCAGTGATTTGCCCCACAGAAGTTAAATACCCCAAAAACTGCCCTAAATACCCCCAAAAGTGCCCCAATCCCATCAAAAAAAACCCAAAAACTGCCCTGAACGCTTCAAATTTCAATTAATTCATCCCATAAATGTCAAATATCCCCCAAAAGTGCCCCAATCCCATTTAAAAAAACCCCAAAACTGCTCTGAACCCCCAAATTCTCATGGATTTACCCCATTAACATCAAATAACTCCAAAAATTGTCCCAAGTACCCCCAAAAAAACTGCCCTAAACCCCCCAAATTCCCATCAATTTACCCCATAAGCGTCAAATGACCCCCAAACTACCCCGAACACCCCAAACCTGCCCCAATCCCATCTAAAAAACCCCAAAAATTGCCCCGAACTCTTCAAATCTTAATTAATTCACCCCATAAACGTCATATATCCCCCAAAATTGCCTCAAACATCGCCAAAAACTGCTCTGAACCCCCAAAATTCCCATTAATTCCACCCATAAACGTCAAATATCCCCAAAATTGCCCCAATCCCGTTAAAAACCCCAAAAAACTGCCCTGAACACCTCAAATCTTAATTAATTCACCCCATAAACGTCAAATATCCCCCAAAATTGCCTCGAACACCCCCAAAAATGCCCCGAACCCCTCAAACTTTAACGAATTCACCCCATAAACATCAAATCCCCCCCAAAATCGCCCCGAACAGCCCGAGACCGCCCCAATCCCATTTAAAAAAACCCCAAAATACTGCCCCGGACACTTCAAATTTAATGAATTCACCCCAAAAATGTCAAATCCCCCCCAAAACCGCCCCGAACCCCCCAAAATTGCCCCGAATCCCCCAAAAAACGCCCCCAAACCCCCAAATCTCCACTCGGAGCCCCCGAATTCCCCCCTAAATCA